CGACCACGACCTCGACCACGGTCATGACCCCTTCCACGCCCACGATCTGTCCTAGGAGCGGCGGCGGGCTCTTCCTTCACAACCTGTGAGGCAGCTGCGAGAGAGGGCGAGGAGAATGCGCACCTTTTTAACATCTCTGTTTGCAACGGGTGCTATGTGAGACGATACCGACTGGGAAATGAGGGATGCAACGTACTCACTCCTTGAGCCTCCGTGCTGGGAGGGTGGGCACGAACCTGAGTTTTCCCCGCGCGTTCACCCTCGTTACGTCGTCTTCCCTTTTCGCCATGCTCGCGATGGCTTTGGATTTAGATAGTCCTGGTGCATCAGACATGGTTGCCCGCCCAGTGATGAATTTAGCTGGTGGTAACTCATACGAACGCCAAAGTCGGGACGAGGCGGCTCGATGATCGTAAGGATCTGCCCGGTCGATAAGATAATTTTTCTGCTCATCTGAGCCACCCGCTTCAAGCTTTTGTTTCCCTCTTGTGTCTATACTCCTTCTCTCGCAACCATCTCATATCAGCCAGGATGTCGGAGCCTGCCCACCAGCATATGACCTACAATGACATCCATAACCTCATCCGCGCTGCCGCGCAGAAAATATCTGACTTCCAGCCCGACATGCTCATTGCCATTGGTGCGTATGATCTCTTCTGAATGACAAGATGACAATCTCTCATGCTCGCTCTCACGCAGGCGGAGGGCGAGTTGTGTGTCCTAGGTATATATATGATGATGTCTGACTCGAACCTCCCCACGCAGCGGATTCTTCCCCGCGCGTGTGCTGGTGTGTTTCTGACCTTACATGTTTATGGGTCTCTCTGATAAGTCAGGTTATCCTTGTAGCGCACCTTTCTCAAAAACAATGTGACCAAGAGAAACATTCCCATCCACGCCATTGGCCTATCACTCTACGAATCCCTCCCCGGAACAACTGCTGAGCAGATTGGAAATGAAGTTGTGCGGACGCAATGGCTGTAGGCATTACTCGATCTGGCTACTTTGAACGTGACTCAGTGATACCGTATGTATTTCAGAGGTCCAGAATCCGGAAAGTTTCTACTTGGCAGAAGAGCTCTAATTGTGGTGCGTGTCTCACCTGGTCTCTGCCGATCCCGGACCCGCATCACGATTTAAAACCCTCAGGATGAAGTTGACGATTCGCGCAAGACCCTCCAGTGAGTCCCGCCTCTAATTCGTCTTAGTTATTGTATATATTCACCGTACCGTAGCTATGCGGTGGCCGAATTACAGAAGGACGTAGAACGAGAACTTGAGGCCCTTCCCGAGGCTGAGCGGGGGACCAACAGAACACAGTTTGCAGTGTTCGTTGTCCACAACAAGCTCAAGCCGAAGCTGGGCGAGCTCCCACCACAAATACCGTAAGTTGACATGGGATCATAGTTTGATGCTGGATAGCCATATAAACCGAACACGTTCCATGCGCCATTCAGATACTACGTCGGCGCTGAGGTCGAGGACGTATGGTGAGTGCTCCATTACCCGGTTCAATCAGTCGAGCTGAATCTCCGGACTGTGATAGGCTGGATTATCCGTGGGAAGCAGTGTGAGTGTAGCTTCACATGTTCTGATTGGTCATGTCGGCTAATGTCTGTTCGCTCATGGGTCACCTTGGATCAGCGATATCGAAGAGCACGACCGCCTCGCACTTGCAGAACGGGAGCGGTAGAGGCCTGTGCTGCCAACACACGGGGGAGAATTTGGGAGTGGAAGTTAGACATACTTTTAGTGTTTTTTGCACGCAATGTACAGAACTGAAAGTTCGCCAGTGCGACGGAGACGGCGAGGGACACGACGTTCGTGTTATGGTTCTGGTTGTTTGAGTCGGGCGTCACGCATTTTATGTGCTAGTCCGGACTGGGGCCGCGAATGAGTTTGCCACGCTTGTTCCCTCCTGTCTTCCCGAAGGCTGGTCCTGGTTCCTCTTGATCCACCAGTATAAAGCGGCCTATTGCGCTCGTTGGCTGCTCCCGCTTCACGGCACTCCTTGCGTGGCCCACTGGCACTGTCTGCCGACTACGCTTTCGCTCGCACCGCGTCCGCGAGTGATATCGCGTTGACTCGAGCCTTGAACTCCGAAGCATCCTGTTGGTTTCGGCATTCGCTCCCGTCCAAACTGTCGCTGGCTTGTTTTGCTGAAACATCTTTCAAGCAATGGAAGGCATAGAAGATATCGAGTACGAGGGTTTGGACCCCAATGCGGGTCTCGCTGTACGTGATTTGTACTTTGCCCTGCGCATTGAAGGATGCTCATGAAATTTGCACCTCAGGTGAATATGATGGCAGGTGCATTGGTAAGTTGTGACGCTGTTTCATACCAAGTATCAATCCCTCTCAGTGGGTTTGCACAACGAGGAAGGTGCTGATAATGGTTTTTTCAGGCAGGTATCACAGAGCATGCGGTCATGTTCCCCGTTGATAGCATAAAAGTCAGTTATTTCGCAATTTACCAGTTTTTCACGCTGACAAGCGGATGCGACTCCACTTTTTAATCGATTTGACAGACACGAATGCAAGTATTTGCGACGTCACCATCGGCGGTGTACACCGGCATCGGGAATGCGTTCACACGGATATCATCCACGGAGGGTATGAGAGCACTATGGCGGGGTGTTTCCTCAGTGATTATGGGCGCGGGGCCAGCACATGCGGTACATTTTGGGACGTATGAGGCTTTCAAGGAGTTGGCAGGAGGAAATGATTCAAGTAATCGGAATCAATGGATTGCGACATGTAAGTTTATGCATCTTGTCCTCTCAACCGTGTATCATCTCACCTGGATCGCTCATAATTCTTCTTTCGTTACAGCGTTTGCAGGAGCATCAGCCACTATCGCGAGTGACGCGCTCATGAATCCTTTTGACGGTAAGATCTTTACTTAGCCCACAGCGATTGCCCTTCCAACCCGAGATCGTTGCTTACAGTGATCAAGCAACGGATGCAGGTCCACCAGTCTGAGTTCCGCTCCGCCATCACCTGCGCGCGCACAGTCTACGCGACTGAGGGCCTCTCCGCGTTCTACGTATCATACCCCACTACGCTGACGATGACTGTCCCTTTCACGGCTGTGCAGTTCACGACGTACGAGCAGATTAAGACGCTGTTGAACCCATCCGGTGTATACTCGCCCGCGTCCCACATCATCGCGGGTGGCCTGGCAGGTGGTGTTGCGGGCGCTGTAACGACGCCGCTAGACGTGGCAAAGACGCTGCTGCAGACGAGGGGCACATCGAAAGATCCGGAAATTCGGAATTCGAGGGGAATGATGGACGCATTCAGAATCATTTGGGCAAGGGATGGGTGGAAGGGCTTTACGCGTGGACTCGCGCCACGAGTACTGACGTTCATGCCGAGTAATGCACTTTGCTGGCTATCCTACGAGTTCTTCAGTGAGTGATTCCTTTTCGTCTTGACACTGCTAGTTTCTGACTGGCGACCTGTGCGTTTATTCAGAGGCTGCGATACGAGAGGACTGACAAGCATTACTACTATATTAATATCATTTGCTGGATGTTCTGTTCGTGGGATCCATGATATTTCTATCTGCGAACATCGTCATACCTGGCTGAGACGATTGTCTGTTCGGCGGAATCCACACATTACACGTGTGGTAAGTACAAAATATTATCTGTATAGAACCCCAGAAGTTTCGCATTGTTGCTATCACCGCTATTACGCATTGTTCATGTGGATTTTGCAGTTACACCTTATGCTCGTAGACGGTAAAAATCCAATCGTGAAGTCCACTATTATAAAGGAGTTTGGACGCCATTATTGAAATATAGTGTTTGTTTTGTTCCGGATCATATCATCGCTGTGCAGGGATCGCCGCAGAAAAGTCAAAGCGTCCGCACAAACTTCACGTAGTATTTGAATGGACATTCCGGTCAATATGCGTAACAAATAACAATGGCATTGCGATAATATACACATGCAACGTTATATGGACAGCATGAGAATAATATACAAACCGCAATGTTCAGACAGCAACCATACTCTAACCCCATCCTTGACGAAACGACCTCACATGTAGAACTCCGGTTTACGTGACGTGATTCCGTACTCTGCAAGCGCAGCACTTAGATCTTCCATCATCAAAGTCGTCTTAGTTTTGTCCTGTGGAAAGGAAACATCCGTCAGCACTCATGAATGTCACTAAGCATGGGCACTTGCCCTAGCCGAAGCGGGCCCCAAGGGCTGGTTCGTACGAGCACGTCCCCCTGCGTTGGCTCGTATCCGTGCGTGCTGGTACGCATCCGCTGCGATATCCGAGACGAACTTCTGCGCTGCTAGCGATAGGAGTCGCTTTCTGTGGGAGTGAAAACAATCAACGTCCACTACCTAGATCACAGAAGGTCTACGTACAACCGCACGTCATCACACTCAAAGCCTACTCTCTGTAGATAGTAATCCGTGACCTCGTTGGGTATCTGAGGACAAGACACGGGTCAACACCGCGCGCATTATCCACGCTTCCGTCTCCCTGCAACAAGACACACTTCCACCCTCAGCACCTAGAACGTACCAATGGCTCATATTCATCCAACATGAGAAGGAACTCGGTCAGTGTCCTGTCCTTCCGCGCTTCCTCTGCTGCCTGGCGGGACGAAGGCTGCGTCTGGGACTGGCCGGACGTGCTTGCGATCTGAGAGAGGTCGGGGGTCTGCGGTTGCGGCGCTGGAGCCCGAGCCGCGGTGGGTGTGGGTGTATTGTAGGCGGTTGGGGTGGATTCTGGATACGGTGTCGACATTGTGGACGGCGGTCTGCAGCTCAGATGCAGGCAGCGTGGTGAACAAGATGCTATATGCACGAACGAGCGAGCGGCACCAGCCGCGTCACGAGCGTCGGAGTTGGTCGCGGTTGCCTGGGAATTTTCGCCAGCGTATAAATTGTCCACAGCCCCGTCCGGTTCACCGTACTGCACTTTCACTGTTGTCGACACTCGGTGCTTGCGATGGTAGATTCTCTGAAGCTGTGTTTGGATGAGGTTTATGCCAGTGAGTATTCAGCGCGTTCTCCCTTTTGTCTTCTCTTGTATTACTTTTATATGATGTTTGAGGCATTTGGCTTTAGTAGGGTTTTCCCTGCATTGCAGAACACTAACTCAGCTACCTTCGGGCTGATTGCTTTGGCAAGCAGTTCGTTTAATCTGACCCTTCTTTCATTGTTTGCCATTTGATCAAGGAGCTATGTACTGATATGCACTGACAGGCAGCAGGGTTAGAAGAGACGGGGCGGACGAGTAAAATATATTCTGTGTAAAATTGTGTAAAGTTACGTCTGAATATATGCTCAAGGATTATACCTAGTCAAATGGGTTCTTCCAGGCTTCTCCAGAAGAATAGCTTCTGGAGCATACGATTCAGATGATTTTTTAGATAGCTGTTGATGCTGTTTCGAACGAGTGAAGACATCAAGACACAGTACGCAACTTGACATTTTGTTTTACATGTGCAAACGGGTGCATTCTCATGTCCTGAATTTCAGTAATATGGTGACAAGTGCTACTTGCCATTTCCTTGCTGTTCTATCACAACTTTTATAACTTTTACACTACCTTCTCTACACCAGCTGGCAGCTGGTACCCTCCTTGACGGCGCACCTGGTGATGAAAGAGACATGAACCCAGCAGGTCAGAGCAGATCATCCATGGAGTTCACCTCATCAAATGTGTCCATCAGGAGGAGACTCTTGTCGTGTCCCCATAGGTCGCTCTCCAGTTTCCCATCCCTCACGCATTTGGCGACTTCATCCGCCTCATAGTACCAGCCTCCACCAACATACTCGAAGACACGTTTTTCCTCGCGCACGACATTGCCACTGCCTGGCTTGTCAAAGTATTGTACCGTGAGCGTCGACGGCTTGAAGATGGGTGTACCAATAATGATGTTGCCGTTTTGGTAACGAATTGTCGCGCCAAACTGCGCGGTGGGGATGGTCATGCTGCAGCTGAGGATCGCCTGCGCGCGCAGCGCCGATGTGAAGTTCACCGTCCAGCTCGTACTGCTATCAACGCCGGTGATGGGACTCTTCACCATGGAAGCACTAATGCTAGTGGGCAATGCCTTCTTGTTTGATGGATGTTCGTAAAGAGCCAGTACTGTCTGTTGATCGGGTTTGTGGTCAGACAGTTTATTTTTGGATGTGATTGTGATAGTATGATTGACCACGTACCCAGATCATCGGGTATGGTCCCCTAACATGCAGCGAGCGTTCAGCATTCGATTTTGCTATATTTTGGTGACTCACAAATCGAGCAGTGCACCTCCGCCCAAGTAGGGATCAAGCATTCTGTGAGTCTGCGGAAGCGCTGCGGAGAATCCCATCAATTAGATGCTTGCATGGTACAAAATGAATCATACTCTCTGGCTGGAAGTCGTGCGAGAGATCCGCGTGCAGCACCACCGGGTCACCGAGGGCACCTTCCTCCGCAAGTCTCTTCACCTCCTTTGTGAGCGGCTGAAAGCGCGTCCACATCGCTTCCATAAAGAAGAGCTTCTTTTCCTTCGCGACGGAGAGGAGGTGTCGCAGCTCAGCCGCATTAGAAGTAGTCGCCTTCTCGCAGAGCACATGTTTGCCAGCGAGCAGTGCGGCGAGCGCGTTGTCATAATGTTGTGTGTGAGGAGAGCCTAGACAGGTATAGATCGAGATATCTGTGGTACAGCTGGCATTCCAAACTCACCAATGTAGATAGCATCGACTTCCTATCATATCATGATCAATACTGATAACGGTACAAAAGAAGTAAGCGTACATTGTCAGCGTACACCTCCTCATATGTACCGTATGCCTTGATGGCTGCACCGGAACCGTACGCAGTGATGAAATCTTGCGCCCGTTGCACATTACCATTACGAGAGCCGACAGCGATGACCTTGTGGGCGACGTCTGTAGTGTCGCGCCTGAATAGATGTTGAGGCATATCAGGCCATCAGGACACATATAGAGACATTTTCTTCATACGTAGCAGGATTAATCAAACAATCCTATATGATGTACTTAGTTCGGATGTGAACATGCAAGGAGGGCAAGCGTATGCTAACCTTAACGAACTCCATGGCAATTCTTCCGGTGGAAACCACACCCCAACGCAGCACGAATGGTTGAGTGAACGCCATGCTGTACAGATATCAAGCACAAAGAATCGTGTTTGAATCCATCTCACGCACGACGCGGGATTTTATAGCAGAGAATCTAGGCAATCAGAGTATCAGCACCTCGGCGACCCGTCGGAAGTTCTGGTGGTGAACAGTATGTCATAACGCAAGGACCGGCCCGCGGTGCCGGTGGTACACAACGACTGCGACCAACGCTATCGAACGGTATCGATGATTATAAGCAAACAGGAGAAGGTACGTCGCTTCGATATCACCTATTCCTTGTTATCGTCCGCGCGGAGACGACGATCACATGCTCTACACGATTCTACGCCCCTCACGCCAATGTCCGTAGCGTCTCCTTGACCGCACTGCGCTCGCTCAACAGCGCAAGCAGCTGCCATCGACGGTCATTCATATCACGATCCTTCAACGGGATGTCATCTTCGTACGTGTCGTTGTCGCCCAGAGCCATCCGCATAGCTGCCGCCGACTTGTTCGGAAGCACCGCGGGAGATAAGGTGAACAGGGCATCAAATGAGGATGCGGAAAGAATGTAGTTGTTGCTCGTTCGTGACGATGTACGGATAGAGGTAATTGCATGTGAGGTGGACGTGAGTGCTAGCGCTTGGCTAATAAGCTGCTTCAACTTCGCCTGCGGCATATATGAGCGCCTGGGACGTATACAGAGGACAACGTGCGCACCTCGAACGCTAGCATCATTAAAGAAGATACGACCTTTGAAGGTGCGCTAAGGTTATGCTGCGCTGAGATCAGTGTAATGCGGTCCGAAATATGTTGTAAAGTAAAGCCGCGTGACACTGACGCAAGATGCAGAGGTAGTCGAGTTCCGGGTGGATCTGCGTCGCGTCAGCAAAAGCAAGGGAACTAGCAACACACAATGACGCACCTCCTCGTTCAGAAAGAACTTGCATCCCTCGCTCGGCGGCGATCTCGTCCCTGTATTGGGAGGGTGCGTCCAACGGCCCAGCGCAAGACTCGAGATGTCTCACCCGGTCTCGCTCCCGCCTCCCCAGACTCACAGTCCATTTCTTCAACCGATTTGATCTAAGTGTGATCGTGTCTGTACTGTCAGATCCCTGGTATGGTAGCGTGCGGCGGCGTTTGCGGGGTGGTGGCTTAGGAACGTCTGGAGGTGGAGTCGGAGGTGCAAGATGTGCTGAGGTATCAAACAACGATACAATTAAGGAGTTATGTAGTTGAACTAAGGGAAAATGGTCGCAATAAGTCCGAGTTGAACGACCTATCTAAAATATAGCACACCGAGATGTGTGGTATCCAAGAGGTCCTTGATCTGCTCATCAAATTCTGTGCGCGATATTCGCGCGGCCAAGTATTCTTTTAAAATTTCCCAGTATGTGGGGGCCTTCGAGCCAAGAGCTGTGACTAGCTGGTGTCTGGTTATGCTCGTCGATGGCAACGACATACCGCCGAGTGGGCTGTTAAGTACAAGTTGGATACTGGTCAGTGGCGGAGCAGCGCGTGGCTCAAAACTGGCTGACTAAGCTTCGAAATGAGCGCCCCATATAGAGTTACCCCGCTTCTCGATTCCGCAGAGTTCGTCTCAGACTCTCAGCCCTTCACTACACCATCCGCTCGCAATCGCATGTCTTTATTACTAGCTGTAATAAATTCCATATAAAGACTCCCCAACTGCCCTTGGATCGAATTGTAGTCGCTGTTTGACGAGCTTCGCGACTGAACACTTCGTATCAGCACCCCGGGCTTATGAGCGCTGAGCGGCCAGTAACATCAAAAGCGAGAGGGATATGTCGATACTAGTGTGTTCGTTTGTGTTGGTAATCATGATGGTTTACTTATGCTGTCACTTAGTAAAACAGAGAGAGGTTGTTTTGCTGGAGACGCGTGCAAGTTCTTGCATGGTGAATCCGAGCAGCTGACACCCTATGACAAGAGCAAGATCTGCCGATATTTCATGGCAGGGTACTGTCGCCGTGGCGACAAGTGCTGGTTCAAGCATGCTTCTACAAAATCCCCCTCCGAATTTATCTCTGTAGACACAGCCGGTGAAGAGGGAAATCATCTGTGCTCCATTTGCTACGAGAAGCCGATCACGTATGGGTTGCTTGGTATGTCACGGAACTATGTCGTATATCGTTGACTAACGAATGCTACTCAGATGGATGTAGTCACGTTTTCTGTCTGCAGGTACCATTATTTCGCCTTTGACGATAGATTGTCCTCACCTATAAATTTTCAGTGTATACAGGAATGGCGCGATCGCAAGGGGAAGTCCGATGATATTGTCTTCTCTGGTGTCCTAAAGCAATGTCCGCTCTGTCGCATCCAATCGCGATTCGTCACTCCTTCAAGCCAATTCTACCCCGACGGACATCCCGGCAAGCTTGCTACTATAGAAAGATACAAAGCAAGTATGGCAAGGGTACCATGTCGGTAGGGATTGTGGTTATTAGTGCCTTCACTAGCGCCTATTGACGAGAGACTCTGCCATAGATTTTTCCAGCAATCTTCGCCTTCCAATCGCTCTTGTCCGTTTGGCAAAGACTGTTTCTATCAACATCTCAATCAGGATGGGACACCCTACACTTTCTCCCATGGTGTTGAACATCGCGCGAACGTAAGATCCCTTTCCCCTGATTTAGTTCATACGGCTAATTTAAACTATAGTCATCGGGCATGTGGGAATTTTTTGACTATTCACCAGATGAACTTGAAGCTCGTAGCCCTTCTGGTGTCCCACCTTCCCGTCGCAATATAAATACAAGGCTGGCGTTTCTGGCCGCTTCTCTCCAGGAATTTTTGAACCGCACTGCGAATGATGGACAGGTATCCGATACGGATTCGTCAACCCCATCAACACCCGAAGTGGACAGATCGGTTACGGAGGCCATGGTGGAAAGCCTGGTACGTCACTTATCCGTTTGTGTGCGGCCCTCTTTGAATTATCTCTGATAGATCGATTCGTTCGTGGGGCCTTTCTCGTAGGTGGGCTTTCTCAACATGCGAATCAGCAGCGAAGATGAAGAAGTGACGGCCATGCCTGACGAACATGGGATAAGCATCGCGGTATCTTCTATTGCGCAGGCACCTCTAGATGATGATGTGACAGAGTCGAGATCGTTGTCCGCCGTAGTGCCGGCAGTGGATGTGGACATGACGAACCATACACCACAATCATCTGGGAATCGACTTTCGTTCAGCCCACATTCACGCTTTAGTACTGTTGTCCCGAGACGCAATCTTCCCTCCGATGAACTGTCTTTGGACGATCTCCGACAAGTACCGATGACAGTGGACGTTCAGCAAGCTGGCGATATCGAAGCGCAATCGGACAGTCCGGATAAAATTATAGCCCAGACTCAAGAGGTTCGGGACAGCGAAGACCTTCTAAATACCAGTGTTGCAATCAATGAGGGCAATGTCAATCGGGTGTCGTCACAGATTCTTCAAGACCAGGAGAAAGTCGTATCTCTTGATGTCGAGGTTTTGCAAGATGCAGACCCACCTTTTCTTACAGATGGTCGGGGAAGAGTTGTTTGGAGCAATGCTGTGTCCGGACGCCAACGCGACAGTCATCGTGGACGATCTCGAACGTCGTCTGGCGTGTTACCTCAAAGCAGCCGAGTTCGTCACCCAGCGGCTATGCAGGCAGATTCGGAGGAGCATTCATTTGACTTTGTCACCGACGGCCGGGGTCGAGTAGTTTCTACTGGGACGGATATCGTGCAAAATGCAACGCCTGAGTCACCACTTGGTGCCGGAAGGGAGGTGGCTGATCAAGAGGAGAGGAATGACGACTGTTCCACGCGAGAAGATGGAGGGCGATCCCTCGGTCGCATCTCGAAGTTTCGGGTGCACTGAGCGAGGGGAATGGAACATATGATGGTGGAGGTGGACAAGTTGTATAGTGCAAAGCTACGGTGTATTTAAACGTCTAAATGTACTACTGGTGATGGTTCCTGTCCGGACACAGTCAATATAACGGCTGGTTTGAGTTGGACTTGTTTGATTGTGTTCAGCTCCGAGGCCTCCTTTATTGAGATTGTCCTCCTGAGTCCATTCTATGAGTCTATTGAAATGTTTGCCTATGGGAGATAAGAGGCCTCCTGAGGTTCGGGTAGATAGTGTCGCGGCGGTATTACGTGGGCATCGAGATTGCATCATTTCCATCGTCGATTCCGGATTGGGCGAGTATGTTTGGTCTGGCATATACCTGCCCCATTCCAGCCACTTCAGTATGTAATTATCTACCGCATCCTCCTAACCGATACTTTGCTCCAGCGCGTTATCTTTGCCCATTTCCACCGATACGCTCCTGCCTGACCACCTTACTACCACAGACAGCCTTTTCACCCATAACAGTGACAGTCATCGAACTTAAAAGCGCTCATCCACCTTTGAACGATGGCTACAGCCATCCCGAACGGCCAGTCGTCAAAATCTAACCCCCGGGCCTCGAGAATCGATGACGAAGATCACGGGGGTGACCCAAAGAAGAATGGACGTGGGGAGTCGTCGTCTCCACAGCCTTCCCCCGTTGAGTCTTCCGGTGACAGAGTTAGAGGGCGATCGCGCACGCGAACAACACCGCGTACTCGCTCCCATGATAATCTGCGGCGGCGGTAAGTGATCTCATTACTCCATGATACCAAGACTCATGGCAGAGTCATAGAGGTTACCATACCCTCATGTCGTCGTTCGGGAAGGCGTTCCATGTGGAGAAACGTTGGAAGCTAATCCGTGAAATGGGTTCAGGTGCGTATGGATATGTAATGTAAGTCTGCCCAGCATCCTATGATCGAGATTCGCCTTTACCGACGATATTTTCCTCTAGCTCTGCCGCAGACGAAATCTCTGGAGAGCCGGTCGCCATCAAGATGGTCTCTCGTGCGGCAGAGAAGATTTCACTTGCGAAGAGGGCGCTACGAGAAATAACGCTCCTCAGACATTTTAATCATGAAAACATTACAGGTCTCATTGATGTCGACTGCACGCCCGATTTGAGTGAAATGCGCGTCTCTTATTTGTCACCTTTGAGCGCGAGCTGATTATGCCTATAGATATATTTTTATGGAGGTCAGTATGATGTCTCATGAATGACACGTGCGCTCATCATTTCTCCATTGTCGTGTTTTAAGCCAATGGAAGGTCCGTCTCTGACCATTCTGCTCCATTTGTATATTCAACAATCTTCCTATAGCTGATCTGTACCAAGTCATCAAGTCAGGTCAGAATCTTACCACAGAGCATGTCCAATACTTTGTTTACCAGATTCTTCGAGGTTCAGTATGTTTCTTCGCATTATGCCCGTCTGACCACTCAATATGCACGTCCAATAGGGATGAAATATATCCATTCCGCGTCCGTCGTGCATCGCGACCTCAAACCGGGAAATCTTCTCGTGAACGCAGACTGCGAGCTTAAGATCTGCGACTTCGGCTTGAGTAGGGGGTTTGAATCAAAATTAGACGAGAATCCTACGATCATGACGGAGTATGTAGCGACGCGATGGTATCGCGCACCAGAGATTATGCTTGCATTTAGGCGAGTCTTCTACCTCAGCTGGGCGAGTCTAATGATTGACACCCGTATGTCTGAAGGGGTTACAATACTGCTAGTTTGTATCCGGTTGTTCTCGCGTGCCCTGGTACTGATACTTTCTGTTATAGTTGACGTCTGGTCAGTGGGGTGTATCTTTGCCGAGTTGATGCTCGGCAGACCTCTATTCAAAGGAAAGGAGTGAGTCAACCAATCGTGCGCATTTGCCACAAACTGATATTCGGTCCTGTTTCCAGCTACGGTTAGCTTATATTACCTTTCCTGTGCCCTATTATCAGTGTTCTTACTATTGACAGTGGACCAATTGAACAAGATCCTCGAGATGCTGGGTAAGTGAGGTCCTTGATTACTTTGGATGAATCTTACAACCCTTTGATACAGGAACCCCAGATGAGGAGGTCGTTCAGCGGATGGCCAGCCAAAAGGCAAGTCCTTAATGCCAAGATAAGCACCTGGTTGATAAATGTGTTCCAGGCTCAGGCGTATATTAAATCTTTGCCTCATAAAAAGACAGTACCTTTCTCAGACATCTTACCACTCGTCGATCATCAAGGTCCGCGGAATACCTGTTCATGCAGGACTTTATTGATTTATACATGCCGTTAGCTGTTGATCTTCTCACCAAGATGCTCGCTTTTGATCCCTCATCCCGGATTACGGTTGCGCAAGCATTGGAACACCCATTTCTCTCTTCTTACCACGATGATACCGACGAACCTGATTGCCCGGAGAAGTTCAAGCGATGGCATACCCTCGAAGCCCTCGAGACACTCGAGGAATACAAGGAAGCGCTGCTACATGAGATTGAAGATTACAGGCGAGAGGTACGGACAGTCGCTGTCGAACTTCCTACGAGTGGCCGCAGCTCTCCCACTCGCGATACCGAGCGAAGACTGGCAGAGATTCGAGAAATGGCAGAGCACTTACAGCCCCCATCTGAATCAGTGTTCTTCCCGTCTCCAGAAATATCATACCAAGCACCTCCAGAAATGCGCAGAACAGAGAGCTTCGAAACCCGGCTAGGGGAGAGGCAGCCAGATGAGCAAGTCCTTGAAGTGGAACGTGTCGATCCGGTCGTGGTGTACGCGCGACGCTCTAGCATGTTCACCCTCTCCCGGACGAACTCGACGTACTCAGCGCACTCGACGTCGCAGCTACGGCAGCAAACGCTATCGCCGACGGAATTGGGAGTATCGAATGCGCAGGGCGGCTCGAGCACTGTCGTATTTCCCACCCAGGATTACGTCGTGCCTGCGCGGTCGCGGACGGCGTCGATGTTTAGCAGTGACGGTACCCGCAAATTGTTGCGTACACTCTCCACAGTGTCGATTTACGAGAGTGGTGAGGGCCTTGCCGGGGGATTGGCCGACATTGCCCCCATAGGGCGATATATCGTAGAACGGGATGAAGCGCTGCCATCAGAGATGCCACAGGAGCTTGACTCACCGCCGCAAATCAGGATGAAAGAAAAGCGAAAGTCACAACCTTTACAAGCCGAGGCGAAGAACGGTGCGCCGGAGTAGAAATGCATAACGAGAGATACACTACGCTGCTTACCTTAGATGATCTAGATGTACAGGTAGATGTACAAGGCAGCGCCGGGCGCCGCACTTGTAAATTCTTCATCAGTCCGACTGCAAGTATACGAGATACATGTCGGATATACATATGTATCGATACATGATTGCATAGACAAGATGATGTATAAGCTTGAGTTGAATTGAGATCCCAAATTAGTCTCCTAGTTTCTGCTTGATTTCTAGAGGAACGTCAGCCCAAACACTGAGACATCTAATGAGGTACTGACTATCAATGATGCCTAAATACGCCGTGCCTGCTGGACTGTCGGGATACTCGTCCAGGAAGCTAATACCATAATCCGCGCTCTTTCCTATACGAGGGTCGAGCGGCACAGCACCCAAGAAGTCCACGCCCATGTCCTGCGCAAGTCTCCGTCCGCCGCCTGTGCTCGGCTTGAAGATCTGCGACTCGTTTCTACAACTCGGGCATACAAAGCCAGACATGTTCTCCACTAGTCCAAGTACATTGATGCCAACCTTCTTGCAAAAGTCTATTTCACGCCGCACGTCTTGCAGCGCAACCTCTTGCGGGGTGGTGATGACAACAGCGCCGTCAATGCCGCTCTCCTTGAGGTATTGTACGACGCTGAGGTGTTCGTCGGATGTGCCGGGCGGCGTGTCAATAACGAGGTAGTCGAGCTCGCCCCAGTCCACATCCTTGAGGAACTGTGATATGAGCCCGTTCTTCTTTGGCCCGCGCCACATGACTGCATCCGTTGATGAGGGAAGCATGAAACCGACCGACATGACGCCGAGGTTATCCTGAACGTACACGGGCGACCAGCCGGAAGACGAAGAGTGGACCTGCTCAGTCGCGATGCCGAGGATAGTGGGAATGGATGGGCCGCATATATCTACGTCCATGATACCAGTCTAACGTGACGGGTCAAACTAAGGTAGTCGCGTGTCAAGGAAGACTGGTACCTGTAGGTGTTCGTCTGCTGCGAATGCCCAGCCAAGTTGGGCGGTGAAAGTGGACTTGCCGACCCCGCCCTTTCCAGAAAGGACCAAAATCTTGCGCTTCACGGTAGACATACGCTGGCGGATGAGAGGCAGTGCCGGATCTGGGCCTTTTGTCTGGCCCGATGCGCAAATTTCTTGATTCGCGCAGCCGGCGCAGGCATCCGCCTTGCCCGCAAGCTCGGACTCGGTACCCTGAAGCGCGATTAATGGATGGAGCCAAATAGATCTGATAACGTACTGGGCAGTGTTCTGGGGCATTTGACGGGACTGAGAGAGGATCTGGTACGGGAGCAGCCTGCTGCAGAGCGATCATGTTGGAGGAAGCAGAGCAGAGCAAGCGCGACCGTGATCCAGTCGATTGCGTAGTAAATCAATGACACTGTGACATACTCTCAGTCGAGGCATGTGATTTTGTCACGCTCTGAACGCGTCGCACGTGATAGTGTCACTGGGGCAGCGGCTGACGACACGAATCGACGTCTGCCAATTCAGCCTCTCCAAGCTGGGTCACAATGTCCGCCGCATCTTGCTTTTTCTTTGCAAACATTATTTGCACTTCACCAATACCTGCTCCTCACTAATTTTTTCAAATAATCTATTATCATGACCAGCGCGGACGTGTCCCACATCCCTCGTCGGAATAAGAAGCAAGACGACCCAAAGATGATCGGCCTCTGGAAGGTCGGTAGAACTATTGGAAAGGGGAGCTCAGGTCCGTGATATGCGCTTGAAAATTGACTACTGCTGACAGGGGCTTAGGTCGCGTCAGAATCGCACGGCACATCAAGACTGGTCAATATGCTGCTGTGAAAATAGTCTCTAAGAATGCTCTTCTCAACTCCCGAGTCTCTCTTCATAGTCTTGGCGACGAAGCTGAACGAATTCTGCATAGTATCGAGAGGGAGATTGTCATAATGAAGCTGATTGAACACCCTAACATTATGCGCCTCTACGACGTCTGGGAGACTTCTAGCGAGCTGTATCTGATCTTGGAATACGTCGAAGGCGGAGAACTCTTTGACTATCTGTGCAACAAAGGTCGCTTGTCTTCTGCCGAGGCTCTTGAATATTTTCAGCAGATCATTACCGCAGTCCATTACTGCCATCGCTTCAACATCGCGCACCGTGACCTGAAGCCGGAAAACCTACTTCTCGACCGTAACAAGAATATAAAGGTAGCGGACTTTGGCATGGCTGCATGGCAAGGAAGAGGCGACCTGCTACGAACTGCGTGTGGAAGCCCCCATTATGCTGCACCAGAGGTCATCATGGGTCAAGCTTATGATGGTTCTTACTCTGATATCTGGTCTTGTGGCATTATCTTGTATGCTCTACTCGCCGGAAGGCTTCCCTTCGACCACGAGGACTTACCAACGTTGTTGGAGAAAGTTAAGATTGGGACATTCACAATGCCTGTGGACATCGACCCTCGGGCGAAGGATCTTATCAACAAGATGCTTCAGAAGGATGTCTCCAAACGTATCACTATCCCCGACATCCTGAGGCATCCATTTTATACTTCTCACAAGCCTAAGAAGATGGATTGTGATATTCCTAACCTCGACGACATAGCCAGACCTCTCGCCAACGCTAATGCCATAGATCCGGACATCTTCGCCAACCTCCGTACGCTCTGGAATGGAACGCCGGATGAGCAGATCGTTATAAGTCTGACAAACGAGGAGCAAACGTGGGAGAAAGGTGTCTATCACCTGCTTGTCCGCTACCGCGCCAAGCACTTAGAGAATTATGACGAAGACGAGGAGAGGTTAGCGGCCAAACGTGCCTCCAGACGGCACGGTAAAAATTCATCCTCACAGGATGAAACTCACGATCCAGTGCTCGATGTTGTACCTCCTCGCGCTGGTCTGCCTACCCCGCATCGTCCGAGGGGTCTTACCGCTGAAGATACATCGGTCACTGCTACTCCAGGCTTGAGTCAGATGCGACAGCTGTCGTTCTTAGGCTCTTCTTTGGCTGTCTCGAGCCAGGCCACGCCGACATCTGTGTGTCCACAACCACCGTCCTCCGTCACGTCCGCTCTGGCGTCTAGTATGTTTTCTCAGGCCACGCCGAGCGTTGCGAGTCCCATGTCGCTTCAGGTACCAGTGGTGCAAGACGAGCGTATACAGCAGTTCTTCAATCAGATTGTCGAACATCTGAACGTCATGCAAACCGTGGGGGGTAGTCCCTGTCCGAGTCGCCCGACGGCGGACCCACTGGGCTCCCCGGGTAGCATTGCTGCTCCACCACCGACCCCATTTATGATGGGTCCTAGAAGTCCCGCAACTCACGGCAACAACGACATTAGGTTCGTGCGGAGAGGGGAAAAGCTCGCATCGACCGAGACATTTGACACGAAACTATATGATTATATATATCCTGACAGCACGACTCGTCCTCTCAGCGTCAGACCCAGATCACCTCAGCGTCCAGACAGGGGCGGAGACAAGGAGAATGCCACACCACATCCACAGCTAACGGTCAACACGAACCTCGGATGTGTACGCAAACGCAAATCGTTTTCAGGAATGGACCGTCGCGTGCAAATCCTCGAACCGCCCAATGCTGAACGCGGGAAGCTCAGAAAGAAGAGGAAGGATGGTATATCTCCCACTTCCCCCGCATCTAGACTGTCCGGGCTGTCGGAAGGATCATTTGCGCTGCCGTCGACGCCAAAGCGGCGCTGGTTTGGGCACTTATTCAAGTTCAAGCCGACGACGTACCACCTGCTCTCGATTGATGAACCGCACGCGACGATCCATATCTGCCGCGAGCTGCTTGAGGAGATGGGCGTGTCCGTTGCACTAGCTAACATGCCTCCTGACGAGCGCGCGGGGCAGATGTCCGACACGCTAACGTTGAAATGCTGGCTGGATGACGCCCGCAACCCGCGAGGCATCATGACGCCTCTCAAGGGCGTGCGCTTTCGTGTGGAGGTGCACCGGCCGAACGCGATACAGATTATGGCTGGGTATATCGTTCAGCTGAGCTTGGTGTTGGAAAAGGGTGCGGCAACGAGTTTGAAGCTGGTGTATAACCGGTTGCGGAGGGAGTGGGACCTTGATTCGGCGCCGACAACGTCTCCACTACCGAGCCGCAGTCCAATGCTGGAGGAAGATGACCGATTCGTCGAAGTTGTGCATGCTCGGTGAGATTTCATATCGATGCGATATAGACCATCCCAGTCAACTGCAGCCTCTACGTCCTGCTCGCATGGGATCAAACTATTCAAGATGATAAGTTCATCTAGAGGCGCGATTTACTTGAATCAGATGTAGGGAATGAGACATACACATAAGCTCTGTTGGCCATATACTAGGTACAATCTGCGCGTGATACATAATCATTGATCTATGCATACATTGGGCCCGAGCTGGAAAAAGGTGCAACCGTCGGCGACGTCTACTTGAACAATACGCCATAAACCTACGTGGTCCCATCCATCGTTGCGATTGTCGATGCAAAGCGTGATGGCGGTTCGAGTAGGAGCGGTGTTGTATCTGTGTCCAAATCCATTGCTTGACCTGCAACATTCTGATTTGTCTGACTATCGCGCAGGAGGGAGATGTGTTGTCCAGGGCGCGAGACAATAATGGTGTCCGGAGAGTCGCTTGATATTCGTATAAGGCGCAATTGCTGGATAAATGCGACCTCTTTCTGGTCCCATCGCCGGAACAGCTTTACATTTGGGGGATGCGTGAGATCAACCACCTCTATGAGTAACATAAACACTACTTATTAAATTGCAGAATGAGAATAAGATGGGGGGACGACATACCGAGACCCGTGCGATACTCTTCGGCCTCTCGCAGCTTCAGCTCCTCCAATCTTTGTTCCTTGGCACTTTTTGGCCGGCCCTTCCGCCTCGTGGCCCTCTCCTCTTCCAGATCGGAATCGAAGCGAGCTAGCCAGACGTCTTTGACAATGGCGTGGAGCTCCTCTAGCGATAGGACACCTTCCGGTTGCAATGAATTGTAGAAGAATGAATGAATGTCAGCTAGAAAGAATCAACTGGTGGAAATGTGGATGCATAAGAATATATCCACACCTTGCAATCTCTGCTTTTCTATCCGCGCCTTGGCGAGTTCTGCTAACTTCCCCTTGCGATTCTGTACTCGTGCAAGTTGTTCGGCCTTGCGAGATTGTGGGTGGAAGAGTTTTTCCTTTTTTTGAGTAGACGTCTTCTTTGTCGATTTTGGTGGCGCCATGCGAACTAGCTCTGGAAATTCAAGTGGAATGGACGACTGCTGTGCAAAACCGCGGTATTCGTGGCTATAATACTGATCGTCGAGGTCTCGACAATTTACGCCCAGCGCTAGAGCATACCTGAGCGCTTAAGCATTCCTTACGAGACTAAATACGGAAAAGGCAGGTTGTGCTGTTTGTGCATTCGCCTTCGTTACATTTGCATCCTCAGACACAGTTTCTTGAACTTCGTCGCATGGGTGCGGGTGGAGGTCTGGTTATGACGACAAACAGATTGTGCGTGCTATGGAGCCTCTTCCTCTTGTGTTTGTGCGTCTTCCTCGTCCAACACTCTGCATTGATTCGTACGCATGACATCAACATACATCATCCAAGTCACGCAAATTCTTCCGTTCGTTTTAGCCCGGACGCACTGCTGAACCGATCCCGCTCTCATGGCTTGGGCGCCGAGAAACCCACAAGCGAAGATGAACTGTCACGACTGCAGAGCGCATTTACAGCTGAAAATATTGCTACCTCCGGATCTTTGGCTCTCACCGCTGTTCTCCCTGTAACACAGTCATCCGTCTCCGATTTGAAAAGTCGGCTTGGCGACATCCTCGGCTACTCACAATACCTATCGGATATTATTGTTCTCTCTCCAGTGGCTGTGATCCCGCGAGTGAGAAGAGTACTTCTGTCTGCTCTTGCATCAGGCGGCCACTCTGCTCACATTGAGCTGACGGTCCGTCCATGGTCGACTGATGAAGAGCAAGACTCTGCGACCCTTCGCATTGCATCGCAAGCAACGTCTCCCTTCGTCCTTATCCTTTGCGAAAATGGCCTGGATGCGATAGACGTTCGCAGTCGTGAAGCATTGATGCTCTTAGAGCCGTTTTCAACAATGTTGCCCATTGGCCCCCGTGGTTTTGTCTTGAGAGATTCGAAGCACATCTGCCTCTCATCGTCGCGTACACCTCAGTTGGCTACATTTTTAGTTCCTCCGTTCGTCATTCCTGCAACGTTTATATCCAGCTTTGGCTTCAATCTCAGCCGAGAGGGCGCATACGGTATCTGGCTAGATTTGGGAAAATGCATTGCTCGAACTCGGGCCGACTCGGCTGGGGGATTTGTTGTAGGATCTGGAGAAGGACTTGGGAGCTGGTGTTCGAATATGACAGAAGATACAGCCTTGAGCTCGCAAAAATTGCCTATAATCTCGAACCCGCTTCTGGATCAAAAGCCCATAGAATTATTCGCTAATAAAACACGTAATGCGGGAGTTGATTCGACGCTCGCATCGGGAACCTTCCTGCTTGTCTTCACGTCATTGCTGGACTTGACACGCTTTTCTGGGGTTGCTTGTCGATGGCGGCAAGACGGGCATAAAATTCATGCCGCCCTCTTCGTTCGCACAGATCACTTGAAAATGGCGGTTCTCACTGGCGTAAGACAACTGATTCTCGAGGATTGTAACTTGGATTATCACTTTCTTCCAACTCAATCATCTGGATTCGAACTGGCATCTGAAATTTTGACCTGGTTCAACTGTCAACCGATCACGCCAGATATCGTGGTCACGACGATATCAAAGTTGGTCTTACTTGACGAAGTATTCCAGCCTAAAACGGCTAGTCAGAACAAACGTTTCACTGTGATTCATTTACCTGCAGACGATCTACCTTACTGCGATTGGATAGGATCTTTGACTCCACGGGAACTAGAAAGTGCGCACCACTATTTAATATTTCTCATGCCATATTAATATCAGCAATTAGATTGGCATAAGCCTCATATCGATATCTCCGTGATTACGAACGATCGACCACATTCCCTCGCACGCCTTCTCACATCGCTGTCGAGCGCACTATATTTTGGAGACTCACCAGATCTACGAGTCAATTTGGAACAGACGGCAGACCGGGAGACATCCCAGATTGTAGAATCCTTCAAGTGGGATAAGGGACAGGTGTTCCTCCACCGTCGTGTAGTACATGGTGGTCTCCTTCCAGCAGTTGTTGAGTCCTGGTATCCACACTCCACCGATTCTTACGGCTTGATTCTAGAGGACGACGTAGAATTGTCACCCTTGTTTTACGCCTGGGCAAAACTCGCTTTACTCCATTATAGGTTCGTGTCGCAATTTGGAGGAACGCAAAATGGGCTCTGATGTACTCCTAGGTATGGCCGGTCGGAAGATCGTTCATCAAGAATGTTTGGTATCAGCCTGTATCAGCAGAAAAACCTTGAGCTACGTCCTGAAGGTCGACATCCGTTCAATGCTCGCGACGTTTTTACTGCAGCAGGTATTGATGACCCGAGCACTCCTTATCTATCCCAAATCCCATGTAGCTGGGGCGCGGTATATTTTCCGGAACACTGGCGCGAGTTTCACGCATACCTCTCCCTCCGCCTTTCCGAGTACGCGTGGGACGCCGACCAGGTGGTTGCCCCCGGCGTGCGCTCAAACAAGTGGATGCGTTCTTGGAAGAAGTATTTCATCGAGCTCGCGTACCTACGCGGCTACGTCATGCTCTACCCTAATTTCGACGGATACGTCTCACTTTCGACGAATCATCTGGAAGTCGGCTCTCACGTTAAGGACGTACCGAAGGAAGTATATTTGCGCAAGAAGAGATTATTCCTCCTGCCACTGATGGCACTCCCCGATCTTTTGCATTCCAATGCTACAGGACTATTGGACCTGCCTGACCATGGTTTGCCTCCGTGGGACCAGTTGCCTGTACTAGATCTTCTTGGCTTGCCTGCTTCGGAGGAGACCCTGGTCGAACGAGGGAGTATGCGCAGAATTGAGCTAACGGGATGCGAAGATACGATTGATACTGTGCACGATGTATGGGATTTGCTATGCCTGCACGATCCATTGTTTGATCTGTAAACGCCACTCTGCTGTCTTGCAAACTAATTTTATTGTCGTTCTTCGGGTCTTCCAACGAAATCAAACCATAGATGCTCGCTGTGGGAGTACAAAACTTCTAGATGAAAAAGGAGCGCTCCGTGCCCCAGAGTCGACCGACATTAAGCGCAGATGCGAGCATGCACATACAGGCGCTTACAAGCAGGACAATTACATAACAGTCTTTGCGTTAGTCCAGGTGCAATCTCCACGACAACTTTCACTTCTGCTCAGCTCGATTCCTCTGTTCGTGAATTGTGTCCATCTTGGTCTACCTTCTGCAATAAACTTCATGCACTCGCATGTCTTTCTTTGGATTTGAACAGCCACTTAACTTAGAAAGTGAAAAGCGTAAGTTTAGAGGAAGCGGGGGTGCAGGCAAGGAGAGTGAGGACATTGCTGTCTACACGTGGGGTGAGGAGAGCTATGATGGTCTCGGGGAGGAGCTCCAGGAGCGTGGAGATGAGCTGAACGACGAGACATTCGGTGGAGCCGGTGTCGTTGGTGAGTCTATCGGTCCGCTCTGCCTGCAATAGATTTAAATGCCAGTCTATCAGGGAAGGACTTTGACTTCTCAAACACTGGTCATATTGCAGAAAAACCTCCCAAACCTGCGGATGCCAGCCGCGATGTGAGACCCTTGTCTCAGATGTCCGAACAGCAGGCGCTCCCCGTTGCGTCGCAGCCGAGCGCATCGTGTACGATGTTCACGACTTCACTCGTCTCATGTGTCTTATACTCTCTATGCAGCTCGTCCAGTACATACCCTCGAATCTGTATGGGATGACAAGTCTCCTTTCTCTGTGTTACCACGGATGAACGTGAATGGCGCAAGCCGCACCGATCTTCACATGGTGGCGCAGTCTCATACCCCTCAGCCTGCAAGGTTCTCACCCTTCACCCTTGACAACGATGTCCAATCGGGCCCGCTCAGTCTTGGTGGTAGCTTACACCAGGGCGCACACACGTTGGAGGAGATTGAAGCGGAAATGCGTGCTGCTACTGTCGCTCGGCTCCAGCAACAGCAGCAGCCACAGCCACAGCAGCAGCTTCCACTCTCGCATTCTGGCCAGCTTCGGACACAGGTACGCCAGGGCACGCCGCATGCTACCCCAACGCCCCCGCCTCGCCTACACCCGCACTCCCAGTCACCACGATTCCATCATCAGCAGCAGCATCATCAGATTCAGCTAATCCAGCTTCAGCAGCAACAGCAACAGCAGCAGGAGCAGCAGCGTCAGTTTTTCGAGCTTCAAGAACTGCGTGCACGTGAACGGCAGCAGCTGCTTCAGCTAGAAGAGCGGCTTCACTTGGAGGAACTTGAACGTGAACGGCAGCGACAAATGAGGCAGCAACAGCAACAGCTACAGAACGTGAATATTCACAACCAGCTCCTGCACCAGCGGCATGCTTCTGGCGGTGTAATCAGCCCTGCATTGTCCGATCGACAACGACGCGCCTCGCCTGTGGTGAACAATCATCATAATCAAAGCCAAATTCCACTCGATATGCCGTTCCGACAGAGTCTTCCGTACCTTCCCCAAGACATCCAGCTTCAGCAACGTTTGCTGGCGGAGATGGCCCAGGAGGAGTTTCTGCGCAACATGCAAGCGACTGCACCGCAGACAGAGCGGGAAGTGAGGGAAGAACGTGAGCTGCAGGAGTTGCTGAGGGCAGAGGCGATGCGCAAAATCATGGAGGCGGAGCGAATGGAGGAGAAGAGGAGGCGCAAACACGCGAAAATTGCACATATGGTATGCGGTTTATTAAATGGAGGCCCACATATTTGGTCTGACCTTACGTCCTAATCAGTCTCGTTATAATGACCTTATGACACAGTCGGACAAGGACTTCATAACGCGCATTCAGGTATCACAGCTAGTTACACAGGATCCTTACGCCGATGATTTCTACGCGCAAGTATATGGTGCCATTCTGAGCTCCAAGATGGGCGTCCAGCCGCAAGATGAACGTGTACTCAAATTTGGATCGGGCGGTGGTGTTGGGCTGGGGCTCGCCCAAAAAATACCCGGACGACGGCAGAGTGCGATGCAGCGTATGGAAGCGCAGGTTGAGCGAATCGTGAACAACGCGCGGCTCAGGGAAAAAGAGAAGATTTGTGAGTATATACGCGTTTCTTTCCCGACGTGCTCGTTCATCATCGTCTATAGCCCTTAACAACTTGCAGGGTGCGTTGGGTAAGACCTCGGGGAGAAGTTACAAAGCCGCACCTCGCCAGCTTCTCCAGGTCGATTCTTCGACATCACCTACACTGTCCCCAGCTCATGCGCACATATCGAAAGCAGATGCACTGTCCCTGCGGAATGGAGAGGGTGCTGCTCGAGAAGCTGCCAAGATTGGGCGTGAAGCACTGGGAACCGCAGCACATGTGAGATCATTAACTTTTGCTCTGAGACTACTCGCTGAGTCCGGAATATTCAGACGGGTGATCTCGTGCACAAAGATCCGTTGACCCATCGAGAGGCGCTGGTCATTATCGAGCGACTGTATGACGTCGTGTTGGACATTGAGCAGCTACGTCGTGACCCTCCACGACCAGAGGAAGAAAGAGAGTACCAGGCGTGGTGTGTCTTTGTCTCTCGCTTATTCTCCACGTATAGACTTATTCTTTGTGTAGGGAGGCAGATTGTGGCTTTCATGTAGCGCAGCTCTGGGATGGCCTCCGGGTCATGGTTCCACTCGAGACAAGGTATTGTTTCTCTCACTGGGTATTGTTCTGGCTTACAGGACTGCTTCCAGTATTCCTCATCCATTCGTGTCGCTTCTTACGCCGATCAAAGGCAAAAGGCTGCTTCCACGAGTCGTGCCGCATCTCAGCACCCAACAGATGTTGACTGTGCTCACTCTATTGGTCGCGTGCTTCTCTCAGTTGGATGTGGTGATCAAGGCGCCGGTCCTCGACAGTCTGCAACAAACTCAGGAGGACAAGGAGGTTGAAGATCAGACACAGGCGTTCATGCTACACACCATCCACAGCATTCTTCCGGTTGTGGCTAAGGCCGGCTTGAGGCTTGTCAGCGGCCTGCTCGGCTTACTCCTGGAGCGATCTGATATTGTTGCAATAGCCCGTACACGAGTGCGCATGAGACCTATACTTTATCGTGCATCCATTTGACAATTGCCCCTGTAGCCTGGACTAGCGTTGTTGACGCTTTTCCTTAGTCGGGTTGAGGTAATAAAGCAAAACATAGCTGCCGCTACGGAATCTTCAGAGGCACCCGCCCTGGAAGAGCACGATCAATGGTGAGCAGACACATAGTCTTCCAAGCACATCGTCCATACTAACCATACACTTCAGGCAACTTATGTTTGATCACTTATTCCAACTTCTAATGCCGAACATCTTGCTGCTTTTCCCCTCTATTCGTCTGAGCGCAGTCGTGGGCATGCCATTTTCCAACATTCCTCAGGCCGACGTTATGGATCAACCAGTCTGGCAGTACCTTGCCGCGATGGCGCTACATGCATCTGCGGAGCAACAGCAGCTCTTGGTAACATCTCTTCGCGAAATTGTATTAGAAAACGTCACCAGTGTCCACAAAGGGTGGATTACAGATGATGAGGCGAGAAAAATGCGGCTGGCGAACGTCAACATATTTTTGCATGCTCTCGGCCTGGATAGTTCACAAATTGCGATGTAATTATAGAAGGTCACAACCCTGGATATCTCATCGCGGAGCTGGTTAATTCAGTCTCAAAGACCATAAAACAAACAGTTTCAGCGCTTGATCAATGCGTGTATTGTGATTTGCGTAAGACGGACTGAAATACAGACATAGTGCTAGATACAATCTATGTGTAATGATGTACAAACGACACAGTTCAGGTTGCACAAGCGAGATACAAGTGTATGCAAGGATATCTTCAGATTGTGTACATTTACGTTGCAACTGGCGGTCGTCTTCCTAACTGACCTTAACGATTGCCTGACTTAACTCATGCACCTCTTCTAAGAAATCGAGGAGTGTACTCGCACTCCATGCCTGGGTGTTGCAAGAATCATGGCATAATTCTCCATCCTTATTTGTCAGTTCAGGCAAGCCTGCCCAGGGATCGCTCTGGATGTGACGACGGGGTGCGAGAATGCAACGATGTAGGTGGTGCAACGTCTGGGTAAGGTCCTGACGTTGAAAGCTAAGTTGACCATATCCAAATACGCGTCACTCTAGCGTTGTACTTACCTCTCTGCCAACCGCTCGGTCGAAATAAAGGTATGCTCGAAGGAAATATCCTAATGGCCAGCCCCATTCAGGTCCCTATACACCGATTGCGGGTTCAGTATAGGATATGCAGAGAACGATTACAACACTTGCATTGTGGTAGTTCAAGCCTTTTGCAATAGCAGGATCAACGCTGTCGTTTGAATTATCATAATAAGGCCGATACTGCAGGTCAGAAGGGTCCAGCGTCCTCATCCCAAGGGGCGCTCTCAAGATCTGGTCAGCGAGCTTGAGTGCTCCAAGACCATGTTCAGGATCAAATAACTCTGGAGCCACAGTCATGGCGATAGGGAAGTTGGGCCGAAACTGGTAGTCTGACCATTCTCGTCCGGGTCCTGAGCCGTATACGTCCTTATAGATTCCTCTGCGATTAATGAGATTGGGGTTCACATTATACTTAGCATCATCCATGGGGTCTACGTATCGGTGAGTGAACACGACGAGGGTCATGGAACTAGGAGCCCACCTAGAGGTACGTAGTAGCACGCCTCGAAGGACGTTTGCAGTAGGTTCCCCCATTCCTTGTATGTGACCAGTCGCACCTTGCCATCGACTACAGCGCAGTCAGAAATGAAAGTTGCACAACAGTGTCTGACTGACTTTCGGCCTCAACACCTTTGAACGGGAATTTCCCGGCACTCGAAAGTTGATCTAACCATCTGAGAGCGCTCTTCAGTAATCCTGTGATCTCCACTGGAGCACCATCTCGCGGCGTTCCTGGACGTCCTTTCGTACCGGCCCGGGTTGATTCGCCCATCTTGTCCATCCATGTCCCACAGTTGAATCGATTGCCTCCGAATATCAAACCAGTCTCCCAGTCCACCCTTATGTCGATGTTGAAGCCTTCGTCGCTCATTTGCATGTCGAGATTGGGTCCAGCGTTATACTCACGAAAAGAAATGCCAGTGGCATGACGCTGAAGGATTTCTTGGATGATCTCCGCGATGGTACTGGAATAAGAGTACGCTTGAGGACCGTTCCACGGAGTCCAGGTATCGTTCTTGGGGAAACGTCGTTTTACTGATTCGGAAAGTAAGGTAAGACCTTCAGGGCTACTGTTGACGTAGTCTTGGATGCTCTGCAGCATCCACCAAGGGGAATCTCGTGAGTTATATCTGAGGGAGGAGATGAATATTGCATCGGATTGTAGGTAGAGCGTAATACCTCGGGTTGCGCAAAGAGTCAAGCAAATTAGGTATCAGACCATGTTTGAGTGTCGAAGCGAACGCCAAAATGTGCGCTTTCGCACCCGCAAAAGTTCCGGTAGTCAGGAATAAACCGCGTAAAGAGATGAATACATCGCGACCCCAGCACCTCGCCCACCCAGAAGCGAAATGCGGCAATCCAGCAGCAAGAGATGGGCTGGGCTTGCCTGGATCAAGTGAAGCAGACTGGACCATCCCGTGCATCTGAACTGAACACAGTGCAAGATCTTGTGTGAAAGAATGTCCACTCGAGACAAACTCGGAGCACTGTTCGATAGCAAGCTGGCGAGAGATCTTGTACGCCTCGGAGATAATAATTGCAAAGTACTTTGGTCTTAAGAACGGCGGAACGTTAGCTTTGATCCGCTCAAACCTTTCTTTGAACCACTGCGCTGGTTTTTTCAGCTTCGGAAACTTATCGACTTGCCTGTCAATCCTTCAGCAGACATGTAAGGACAAAAGAAACGCTACACTGACCTCGACAATCTCGAGGACACATAATCCAGTGCCCACGTGCCTTCTCGCAAGTTCCCACATAGTGGATGGCCCAAATCGTTGTACCGCATTATATGCCTCAGAAGATGCATCCAGCCCTCGAGACCGCAGTATACCAGATTCCCAATACCGGAAATAGAGTACGTGCCAAATTCTCCACTTGTAGCATCGCGTTCTTCTCCATCGGCCCGATACAGTATCACATTGAGGTCGACGAGATCCAGATCTGTGAATGCATTTTCGGCTTCGGATGTACAGAAGATGTCCAGCGTAGCGTCGTGATTCTGCAGCTGAGTTTCGAAGACCATGATGCTCCCCGGAGGGAAATATTGCGGGACGACAATCTCAGCGTAGGGTCCTTCTTGATCAAGACCCTGGGGAACGATGACGGGGGGAATTTCGACAAGTTTTCCGGGTAGACCGCAGAGCGTCTCTACGTCACTGTCCGTCTCATATGACGATATATCTATGTATGCACCATAGATATAGATGGCTCTCGTCCCGCGGAGTTTGACAGGATCGACTGTTTACCAATGTATTAGCAATGTTCGCGATGAATAAATTACATCTACTCACTGTGTCCGCGATCTTTGGACCCTTTGGAGAAGGCTGTATGCGCAATAAGAATGTATCCCTTCTGCGTTGTTGGTTGCACGCGGTGAATGACAATATACTGCAGTCATCGTTTCTTCAGAATACGTCTGGTAGCGCAAAGACCGAACAACTCACATCATTCTCCTGGTGGACATGCCCCTCTTGAAAACCGCCAAGAGCCATCTCAGTGTGCAGTGAATTTAGCAAACGCTTAGCCTTGGCGATACCACTCCGCTCCCCAAAGTTTGTCACCTCATACTTTCTTCTCTCAGCAACCAGATTTAAGAGCTTTGGATACAAATCATCGAAACCCTTGACAGAGCCGATACCGCAATACGAAAACGCGACGAGTGCACCAGTAGACAGTGCATCTTCGGCAGACCGCTTGAATAAATATGTCTCGTTGTCGTGGGTCAGGTCGTAGAAAAGTGCATGAGGAGCAGAGCCATTATGAGGTATTACGACGCAGGGACGAGTGGGCCCTTTTCCTGTAGGTGGCGGGAGCTCTTCTTTGCTGGTCACGCAGGCACTATCCATCGAACCTGCCGGGAGATAAGTATCAGATACTGCATATAGGAAACCCATGTTTAAAAAAAGCGCTACTCACCGATAGGCTTCCCGAGCCCATGTCGGTATAACAATCTCGAGAACTCCTTTGAGTCCCATGCATTTCCTGCCTCCCGAATCAGACTATTCAACCCAAGCCGGCTTACGAACAGTTTGTCCGTCTCTTCATTTCCCGTGAACAACTCCGCACAGACATACAGATCCGGGTTTACCACGCGCGCTGCATCGAGCAGCGTCACGCCCACGTGTAGGGGGGTCGAGTGACAGTTATCAATGCGAAAGCCCGTGAAAGTGTTAGCGAGCGAAGTGACATATTTCGTCATATGTTCCCAAAGCCATGGGTTCGACGAGGGCTCGTCCCCGTAGCGCAATTTTACACAGTCCCCCCAGACAATGACTTCGCGGCGAAGGTATGCTTTAGATGGCGGTAATGCAAAATTCGCAAGAGGATCGGCGTTCCAAATCCACCCATTATTCGCGACGGAGTAGATCGCTGGATCGTCTCCTTTACCCTTCAAACGAGTGAAATAAGACTCGACCAGCGGAATCCTACGCATAGTTTAGTGACGAAAATGTCCGCTCATGAGGGGTGCGCTCACTTGTCAGTGATTGGTCCCAGCTTCGGCCCGTGCTCATCCAGACGAGTGTACTTGAGCCTATTCTTGATGTTTTCCAGGGCGACTCGGGTATCGTCTTCCCACTCTTGATAGAGAGGCACATTCAGCACGTCCACTACGCGTATCCATGCGTCAGCTAATGAGTCACTGTCATCCAGATCTGCGAATGCGGCCTTGACAAATCCAGCCGCAACAGACCCGTCGACATAAGTGCCGAATTTCTTCTCCAACTTGTGTAGACCGTGAATGATCTGGGAAGCGAGGATGACTTCCGCTAAGTCTGCAACAGATCGGTAAGCGATGTCCCCGTCATCCCACGTTGCCACTTGGCCATGATCGAGAGCAGCTTTCACAGCTGCCCGCTCTTTCGTGACATCGAGGACATAATACTGCCATGTATTCAAGTCTTTGATGTAATCGCGGAAGCCATTTATGAGCTTATCGACGTCCTCTTGTGAGTTCACGATCGTCGGTAAGCCGTTTGACAGGAGTAAACTCGAAAACCTAATCATAGCGTCATCGAGTTCTAGTGCGGGGGTTAAATGCGGTGTGTTCGCAGGGCTATAACCTTCGAGGCTAATGAGTCGGACGTTGGTGGAGAATAAGCGCTACGTTACCTGCTTCGGGATGGTCAAGAAGCCATGGGCTATCATTGGCCGTATGATTCAACACGACATCCGTTAAACTCAGTAGACCATATTCGTCTTTAGCAATCCCAAGCATCTCCTCGAGCTTTACTTTGCCTCCGTCCGATCCAATGTCATAGTGGCCGTTAGGAAACAAGGATGGCTCGTAAACGAGCTGGTCTCGTATTGAGTAAGGGCTATCGCTCTCGCCTCTCTCCTGGAGTGGTGTCCAATGAAGCGTGTTGTACCCTCGCGCACTGGTCTCGGCAAGATAGTCACGCCAAGCGGACATTGGGCCCATCCATTTCGACACAACTGTTAAGATAGAAAGACCATCAAGTGGTAGATTAACATAGTCTTGCTGTACAGCGTTTCCAACTTCCGATACGGTCGCGTCTGACGAGAGGATTGGGGTGCGAGCTTTCGTGGGAAGGATGGGATCAATGTTGAAGTAGCCTTCACGGCCTTTGATACGTGCACCCGGCTCCTCACCGTCAAACTCGACCCAATAAGCAAAAGCACCAGCATGAGATATGGGTAGATCTATCCGAATTGGTTTAGAGAAATCTGTAGGCAGCCTGTGCAATCAAATGAGCATAGCAGAAGCTAAGTCAAGCATGTAGACATACACGCGTTCGACGAAGTGATCGCGTGCGAAACGACCGCCATCAAGCGGGAAATTAGTCTTGAATATTCCATTTTTCGATGCGGGAGTCCCGGCCTCTATAGAGACACGCAGAACGTATGGGGTCGTCGCAGGAGGAAGCCGAACATACTAGCAGAAAGATCAGTATGCGCTGATAATCAAGACAGTACGCTAAGTCAAATTTCAAAGCACAAATCACACAGCGATGAGGCGTCATCGCTGTATCTAACGCCGGCCGCAGGGACTGGGAGAGGAAGAAGGCAGTACTCAACAGCTCGATCTCCACTGGGGCCACCATCAGGCTCCAGCTGCAATTCATAGACACTGATCGGTTTGTCCCCCTGCTTAAATGCAGACTCGAAAAAATCAATCCCTTCGTCCGCAGGCGTTTTGGGTGTCTTCGGAGTCCTGGGAGTGGTTGGGGACTGCGAGTCGCCATTGTTCGCCGTGTTAATGATAGGAATTTCAATGGTAGACTTGAGTTTCCTGGATTTAAACATGACGGCAGTGGACGGGAGCTATGGAGGTTGGGATCGAAGAGAAGGGACGCGTTCTGGCCGCGCCGCTATATAAACGGGGTCCGACGACATGAACAGAGGTAGCACGCGTCGATTCGGGCCAATCACGGACGCGTCTCCGTCTGACGTCACATACAGGACCCGTTACAGAACACGTGATGGAAGTCTTGGTCGGTTACGTAATGCAGGAGGCGAAGACGAGTAACAACGACCTTGCGATGCCACAGACAGCTACTAAGCACCAGAATGACCATCCGCCTTAAGCCCAGCCATTCTCCAGACCCAACCCCTCTCTCATGGGAAAACATTCCCGCAACACCAGACACCCCTTCAGAACTCGATGCAGTGCCCCCATCGCCGCCCACCGTTTGGCTATCCGCCCGCGACATGAAGACGTTTGGAGCAGAGCCCTTGAAGCAAGATATTGGTATCGTGAAATGCAAAGACTGCGGGAAGCCTATATTAAAGAGCGCTATTGCAGACCATGCTGGTGAGCTGTCAAGTCCAGGCGATGCATGGTATCGCGATTCATGTGCGGTCAGACAACTGCGCAAAGATTCGCTCTGGTGGAAAGAAAGGCGCCAAGGGTAAAGCCGCTGCAGAGGATGATTCGGCCAAGAAGGGAAAAAAGCGCAAAGCAGAGGACGAGATCCCCGACGCAGACGATTCTTCTGCTCCCAAGAAGAAGAAGCCTGCCACAAAAGTCACCAAAGGCCGTTTCAAAGGTCCCGTCGACTACGATAAGCAGTGTGGAGTTATCAACGACAAAAGCCTTCCGTGTTCACGGTCCCTCACATGTAAGTCGCATTCGATGGGTGCGAAGCGCGCTGTCCAAGGCCGTTCGAAACCGTACGACGAGCTGCTGCTGGAGTGGAACCGACTGAACAACCCTAACTGGGTAGAGCCAGTGAAGAGAGAGAGTAAAGCAGAGAGGAAGGAGCGCAAGGAGCGCGAGAAAGTCGAGAAGAAGCGGCTCGCCATGGAGGCCGCTGCAGCTGCCGGCGTCGACCTCTCCAAGAAGGGTGCGAGCAGTGCTCTAACCGGCGCTACGAAGAAAGGAAAGAAGGCTAGTTCCGCTGCGGCTGCCGCCGCCGCCGTGGCCGCAGCCACAGTGCCGCCAGGAGAAGACGTGTATGAGAATCTAGACGATATCGACTCGGAGGCGGAGGTGGACTCGCTCGTTCATGCAGTCCGTATTGCGCATGATCGGGGGTTGATCAGCGTCCCTTTGGCGGTCCCGTGTGATGCCAGCTCGTGGTTTGTTGCTCGGAGAGAGCGGCTTCGAAGTTGCAGCCAACTTATCGCAGGGGCATTAATGCCTCAACGGAGCTCTGCCGCCCCAGGACCTCGCCTATCCTGATCACCTCATCCCATTCCACTGGCGACTATGACCTTCAGTACGTCATGACATATCAAACAAGCCTAGCGTATCCTGCGTTCACTGGCCGCAGACTTCTCTTACGACACACATTCCTGTTTTGAACTCGCTGATACCCCATACTAGACCTTCCGTTGAACTTGAAATTATTTTGTTCAGGCAGGGTCATGACTCTATCCTATATTCGATTCTGTAAGTGGGCTGCGTCTCGTCGAGGACTGCTGGGCGAAAACATGAGTTCATCATTCACGGCATGTATCTACTACGATTGAACGATGACTCATATATGGTGCAAGTCTCATGATACACAACAAAAAAATCATGATTTTCTTGCAATTGAAAGGCATCATAAAGGTGTCAACTGAAGTAAGCCTGGGAAAATGGTTGGTTCTTTGTTGTGATATGTACTTCTCCTGCTGTATGCTGTGTACCTGTAAAATTGTCTGTAGTGATGTAGCCTGATTCCTGCTGTGTTAGTTGCAGCTTGTTCTCTATCTTCTCTCTTCCATCTTACCTGATGAAAAAATATTATTGTAATGTTGAATGTTCAAGGAATATTTCCTTAGACTTATTTGGAGATGCTGCCCCTGTCAATGGGCATCTAGTCTTACTGTAGATGTACTGGCTCAGTTTTTCAATCTTGTAATAAACACAGATTTACTAACCATATATTATCTATATAAATTCTTGTAGACTTCAGAGTTAAGCTAAAATTTTTGAAGATGGATTTGACATATATTTGTCATGTAATGATGTACACAGAAGAAATGCATGCCTCTCAACCTTGTGTAATGGTTGTTACAGCTTCATGAGGAGGGGTACAGCTCGGAAGGGGGGGTTTCTTTT